TCTGCTACGTGTATTAATTTAGGCAGAATTGTCATTTTTATTACATTGGTTTGGCCTACCCATTAACAATGAATATTTCTCCAATTATATAAATTTGATATTATTTGTACGAAAAGTGTTTTATCTAGTTGGTAGGTATGTCTTGGCAGGTATACTCCCAGGTATTTTATGTTGCCCATGATTATTTTAAATGACATATCTCTTACTATATCTTCTTGCAGGGCTTTGTTGGTGATGTATAGAAATGGTGATGATTTATGTAGGTTTGTTTTATATCCTGTTACTTTGCTAAAATTATTAATTATTTCAACTAATTTTTTTAGTTGAATCTCTAGGATTTTCCAAGTATATTATTGTATCATCTGCAAAATGTGATCCATTTACTTCCTCATTGCCCATTCTAACTCCTTCCATTTTTTTCTTTTTCTTTTCTTACTGCTATTGCTAGCATTTCTAGTAAAATATTGAATAATATTGGTGATAATGGGCATCCTTGTTTTACTCCTGATCTTATTGGGAAGGCTTCTATCCCTGTTACAGATAAGGCTTGCTGATGATTTTAGGTAGATGTTTCTTATCATTTTGAGGAAAAATCCATTTATACCTATACTTTCAAGTACTTTTAATAGGAAGGAATGTCACATTTTGTCAAAAGTTTTTTCTGCATCTATTAATATAATCATAAAATTTTTGTTGCTTTTGTCATTCCTTATATTGAACTAGCCCTGCATTCCTATAAATCCCACTTGGTCATAATGTATAATCATAATATATTGCAATATTCTCCTAGCTAGTATTTTAAGATTTTTGCATCAATATTCATTAGTGAAATTGGTCTATAATTTTCTTTGTCTGATTTTGCTCTTCTTGGTTTAGGTATCAGCATCACATTTGTTTCATAAGAGGAGTTTGGTCAAATTGCACCTTTGCCTATTATCCCAAATAATTTATTTAATATTGGAATTAGTTGACCTTCAAATGTTTGGTAGAATTCACTTATTTTTTAAATAAAATTTTATTTTCCCCAAATTACATGTAAAAAGAATTTTTTAACATTTGTTCTTTTTTTTTTAAGTTTTGAGTTCCAAATTCTATTTTTCCCTCCCCCTCCCTGAGACAGTAAGCAATCTGATAAAATGTGCAATCACATAAAACATTTCCATATTAGTCATTTTGTGGAAGGAAGAAAGAAAGGAAGAAAGAAAGAAAGAAAGAAAGAAAGAAAGAAAGAAAGAAAGAAAGGAAGAAAGAAAGAAAGAAAGAAAGAAAGGAGAAAAACAATACATTTCTGTCTGTATTCAGATGCCATCCATTCTTTCTCTGGAAGTGGATAGCATTTCTTATCATGAGTCCTTTGGAACTGTCTTGGACCATTGTATTGCTGAGAATAGCTGAATCATTCACAGTTTATTATCTTACAATATTGCTATTACTATGTATGATGTTTTCCTAGTTCTGTTCACTTCGCTTTGCATCAGTTCATGTAAGTCTTTTCAGGTTTTTCTGAAATCATTCTGTTCATTGTTTCTTATAGCATAATAGTATTACACTATAATCATATACCACAACTTGTTCAGTCATTTCCCAATTGATGGATATCTGCTCGATTACCAATTCTTAGCCACCACAAAAAAAGTTGTTATAAATATTTTTGTACAAATAGGTAGAATTCTCTTCTCTATACATCTGGTCCTGATCCTTTTTTTTTAGGAAGATCATTTATGGCCTGTTCAATTTCTTTTTCTGAAATAGGTTATTTAGATATTCTAGTTCCTATTCTGTTAGTCTGGGCAGTTTATATTTTTGTAAGTATTCTTCCATTTCACTTAAATTGTTAAACTTCTTGGTAAATATTTGGGCAAAATAACTCCTATTAGGGGCAGTTAGGAGGCTTACTGGATAGAGTGCTGGGCCTGGAGTCAGGAAGACCTGAGTTCAAATTTGGCCTCAGACACTTACCAGCTGTATGATACTGGGCAAGTCACTTAAACTCTATTTGCCTTAATCTACTGGAGAAGGAAATGGCAAACCATGCCAGTATCTTTGCCAAGAAAACTCCACGGACAGTATGGTCCAGAGGGGCATTAAAAGTCAGACATGACAGAACAACAACAAAACTCCTAATAATTGCTTTAATTTCATCTTCATTAGTGGTGTATTCACTCTTTTCATTTTTGACACTAGTGATTTGGTTTTCTTCTTTTTTTTCAAACTATACTAACCAATGGTTTCTCTATTTTATTGTTTTTATTTTCATAAAACCAGCTTCTAGTTTTATTTATTAATTCAATGAACTTCTTACATTTAATTTTATTAATGTCACCTTTAATTTTCAGAATTTCCCATTTGGCATTTAATTGGAGATTTTCAATTTTTTTGCTAGCTTTTTAAAAATTGCATACCCAATTCATTGATCTGCTCTTTCTCTGTTTTATTGATGTAAGCATTTAGAGATATAAATTTTCCTTTGATTACTGCTTTTGCTGCATCCCATAAATTTTGGTATGCTGTCTCATTATTATCATTCTCTGTAATAAAACTATTTAATGTTTCTATGATTGCTCTTTCACTTACTCATTCTTTAAGATTAGGTTATTTAGTCTCCAGTTAATTTTTAATCTGTGTTTCCATGGTCCTTTATTAAATGCATTTTTATTGCATTATGATCTGGAAAAAGATGCATTTAATTTTTCTACCTTTTTGCATTTGACTGTAAAGTTTTTATGCCCTAATATATGGTCAGTTTTTGTAAAGGTGCCACATACCACTGAGAAAAGGTATATTCTTTTCTATTCCCATTCATTTCTCTCCAGACATCTATCATATCTAGCTTGTCTAAGATTTTATTCATCTTCTTGACTTCTTTCTTATTTTCAGTTTCCCACTATTACAGTTATCTCTTTCCACCTGTAATTCATTTACTTTTTCCTTTATAAGTCTGGATGCTGTAGCATTCAGTGCATATATGTTCAGTATCAATATTGCTGCATTATCTATGGTACCTTTTCACATCATGTAGTTTCCCCGCTTATCTCTTTTAATTAAATCTATTTCAGCTTTAACTTTGTATGAGATCGTGATTGTTACCCCTGCTTTTTCTTTAAACATCAGCTGGAGCGTAATAAATTCTACTCTGGGCCTTCGTGTTTACTGAGGCTGCCCCCAGGCCTTGCATTCCTGCCCCCAGCCCCCGGGTCAGATCCTTCCTAACATCCTCCCGTTGTTTTAGGCTGCATGACTGCTTTAACTTGACTTTGTATTATTTCTACTGCTCTAAAGTCAACTTTGGGCATTGTTTTAAGCTATTTTGAGGGGACTTTGGGAGAGCCAGGTAATTTCCTGCCTTCTTCCACCATCTTCCCACAATTCCCTCTCATAATGATTTTAGACCAATGAGAAAGTAAGCATACAGCTTGATGAGTGTTAGTATCTGATCACACACCTTTTTAGAGTAATCATCTTTTGTCTGTAGTCTTTCCCCTTCTTTATAAAATAGACTCACACCTAGGATTTCTGCTGTAGGTATTTGGTGATGTATTGAGGGTAACATTTTCACTTCCTCAGAGAACACATCTGGCTTCTAAACCTATGTAGGGTCAGCCCCTCCCCTCCACATCCATATTTTGTTTTAAGGTAACCTTTAAGGGTATGGTGCTGTGTACATTGGTGAATGGGCTGGGCTCTGAGTCTGAGCCTGGAAAGTGATGTCAGACTAATAACCATTTAGTGGTCTAAACTACTAAGAATCATGGTCCAGCACAGTCTAGGAAAGTCCCTGCCTTCTAAGTGCAAGCCCTTTGTGGGCAGGGGACATTTTCTGCCACTTGCTTTATATGGTAACCAACTTGGTAGCTTTTGGTGAGAGTTGGTAGCATTGGGGGCATTGATCAGCCTGCAGATGGAGCTCTAGGGGTCCTCCAAGGCCTAATTTCTAATCTACACTCATCCAGTAGCCGGTACAACACCCACAGGATTACATTCCTCCAGACCCAATGCCTGCTGCCACCCGGGCTTCCGTCAGGTCACCCAGGGTGCTGGCAGTGCATTTGCCACTTCCCAGAGCTCTCTCCTCTCTCCTCTGTCCTCAAAGCCCTACAGTGTTGGCCAGGATACCTGTTGTCTCACTGACTTATTTTCACAACTTATTTGAGCACGCTATTTGAGTATCCTAGAAGACACGAGAAAACTGAGGTGCAGAGAACTATGGCATTAACTAAACAGTGATTGAATACAAGACATTCAAAGAATCTTAGCCTCCATGAGCTGCTGGTCCAAACTCCCTCACATTTAAGGCCCAGAGAGAGGAGGACGCTTGCCCAAGGTCACAGAGATAGTCATGCCAGAGCCAGGATTTGAACCCACCTCCAATGCTTTCGGTGTCCCTTCCACACTGTATACAGTCCTACCCTACAAAAGGTCACTTTAAAGCAAAACTCAGATCCTCTGGGGGGACTGTCCTCTAAGCAGAAGGGACTGATGAGGGACTTGGGTGAGGAAAGGCAAACTCAGAAAGTGGAGGTGGGGGGAGGGTAAGGTTATCCAAAACATTAAGCATCTCAGTTCTGATGAGGTTCCAGGCACGATCCTGAGGATACAAAGAGCAAATGAGAGAGTCCTGACCCTCCTGGAAGGCCATTTTACTGGGGCCGGGGGGCATCTGGCATCTGCACCGAGGGAGTGGAGGGAGAGACCCTTGGATAAGGGGGGATTGGGAGTTGGTGTGGAGGCTGCCAGGGAGAAACGCTGCCCCGGGGCAGGCAGAGGGCCAGACTTTCTCTGACCATGAACCCTGCACGGTCACATGACTGGTAAGTGGCGATGGTGGACTTCAAACCGAGGTCTCTGCCGCTGCTGCGAAGCCCGGGACTCTGGGAGCTTTCCCTTCCCGGCAGCCCGGGCCCTCTGGGTCTGCCCCAGCGGCTTCGAGTAAGTCAGCGGTCCTAGACGTGGTAGGTTGGTCTGAAGAGAGCCATCAACCAAATGTTTCCAACCTCTTCCAGGGCTTAAAAAAAACGAGCCTTGTCATGGACCAAGAGCATCCTCGAGGTGAACACAGTATAAACAACAGGAATGAGCTGCGGAAGGTTCTGCATCTAGAGATGCTCTATAAGGAAAACAAGGTAGGAGACTTGAAGGGGGTGGGGCGCTTCAAGTTGGGGGAGGGGTGGCTGCCCTCTCTGAGCTCAAGCTCGGGGGTCGGGGCGGGGGTGGGGGCACAGCCTCGAAGGTGCCGAAGGCCACTGGCCTCAGTATAGTTGGCTCTCGCTCACATTGAGAAGGGAGCAGGTGCAGTGATGTCGACCTTGGTCACCGTCATCCCCCCAGGAGTCCACTTCTCTTACTTTGAGGCCGCCTCAGACAACTGCTTTCAGGCCTTCTCCCTCCCCCACACGATGCTTTTTCGTTACTGATGGTCAGTTATTCCCACACGTGCCATTTTCTCCTAGTCTGTTCTAAGGAAAAGCTGCCTCAGCCCAGCTTTCCACTCCTGCTTATCACCTTCAGCATTCTCCTCTAACAAGGTGCCTTGCCCAAATGTCAGAATCCTACACAATACCTTAAACTCGATCAACAGGTCATTCAGCCAACAAACATTTACTAAGCGCCTTGGTTGTGCTAGATGTTGGGACATGAAGACAAAAGGGAAACATTCCCTGCCCTTGGGTCAAAACCTGTGGCTTATGTTCCATTGAAGGAATCAACGTGTAAGCTGTCAGGAAATTCGAGATCTATACACACCCAGTAATTTCTTGGGCAGAAGGCCTCCTGTAGGAGGGGGCCTAGGGGCTGTAGAGGGGAAGTTGAGGAAATGCATTTCAGGCATGGGAGAGACCTGTGCAGAGATAGGAAAGGGAATGTCATAGTGAGAACATCCAGGTAAGCTCGAGATAGAGCATGTGAAAGAGAGTGGGTTCACGTGATCATCCTTGTAGAAATAGAAGGGACCCTAGAAGCCAGTCCTTTCATTTGACAGATGAGGAAACTGAGGCTGAGAGAAAAGAGAAATTTCTTGCCCAGGGTCATATAGCTAGGATGTTTCTGAGGCTGGATTTGTCTCACAGCTCAGCAATTAGATTACAAAGGGCTTTAAATGCCCAACAGAGGAGTTTGTGTCGTCTCCTGGAGGCAAGAGGAAGTCATAGAGCCTTATGAGCAGGAATATCCGTTTGGCCACTGTGTGGAAGATGGCCTGGAGAGGGAAGAAACCAATTATGAAGCCTTTGCTTCAGGTGAGAGGTGATAAGGGCTGAGTAGAGGGAAGGGGATGGATGAATGGGTGGGAGAGGTGCTGTAGAGGCGTAAAGCCGACAAGATGAGATAACAGATCGGCTATGAGAGGAAAGGGAGAACCAAGGGTTATATCTGACACCCATACTGGGTACTCCAGGGCCTCCCAGTGAATGGTGGGGGCTTTTGACAGAAAGAGGGAAGGGAGGAAGAAGGAAGGGTTTAGGGACAAAAGAGGATGAGTTTCGTTTTGGACATGTTGAGTTTGAGGTGCCTATGGAAGATCCTGTTGGAAATGTCCAACAGACAATTATTGATGTGGGACTGGAAGTCAGGAGAGAGCGGGGCTGGACAGATAGATTTGGGAGTTGCCCAGGGACAAGATGTGCCAAGTGGTAAGATCTGGGCTATAGATTCCATTGGCCACTGCCCTTTGCTTTAGAAACACAGCCAGAGGTGAATTCAAAAGAGGTTATTTTAGGGCTTTAGGGAATCCTCATTTTGCACTTTACAATTATGGAGCAGACTTAATTATAGATGTTTTCTATTTAGTGGGATGAAGACTCTCCCACCTACTAAAAATATTACCATTAAAATACAGGAAAGATGAGGTCTTTCCAGGAATCATGCTGCCTTCTTTCTCAGAGTGAACGGTGAACAAGGGGTATAATTATGTAATTGACAGGCTATGTATTTGTATATTCTATAGACTCCCCCAAAGACAGGATACTTATCAGCCATGAATGAAATGCATTTAGTTTTTTTAAATTTATTTTGATTTATCAACATATGCTTTTGAGTTTCAAATTTTTCTCCCCCTTCCTCCCCACCACCCTCCCAAGAAGGTGCACAATCTGATATAGGTTATACATATACATTCCTATTAAATATATTTTCACATTAGTGATGTTGTAAATAAGAATTAGAACCAATAGGAGGAACCACCAGAAAGAGGAAACAAAACTCAACAGGAGAGGAAAAAAAATAGCAAATAGTATGCTTTGATCTGCATTCAAATTCCATAGTTCTTTCTTTGGATATGGATAGCATTTTCCATCACGAGAAATGCATTATTTAAGAGAAATGTGCAAATAACCTATCAGTTACATATCCTTGTTCATGTTCACTCTGAGAAGGAAGGCAGCATGATTCCTGGAAAGTCCTTGTCTTTCCTGCATTTTATGGAAATATCTTCAAGTTAGAAGAATTTTTAATCCATTAAGCAGAAAACATCTGTCTTCTGCTTCATAATAGGCTGTGCAAAATTGAGATAACAGGCCCTCACCTCTCTCTAGCTCACCTCTGGCCATGTTTCTAAAGCAAAGTGAAATGGTCAAAGGAAGTGAAGTCATTCAGGCCCGAGTTGTGATTTCAACTCCTGAGTTAGGAGCCACCTTCTCTCCCAAGGCAGCTCCACACATTCTCTGCAGCTTAGGAAGGTGCCTAAAGCATGTGCTCAGAGTCACACAGGATACGTCAGAGGCAACACTGGAAACCAGGTCTTGGTGGCCAGCTACCACTACCCCCTGCTACCTCTCCTGGTGAGATCCTAAACTGGGCAATTGTCTGCTTAATGTTAGCTATTCCAGAGCCCTGGGGTTTCACTCGCCCGTGTGGAAGTACATCTTCCACCAGGGTAGATGTAAACACTTTATGCTCTATGCAGCTGTGTCTGAAAGGGCTCATGGCCCCTGGTGGCTCA